CAGCAGCGGCTGAGGGTGCGGCAGCGGTGGAGATCTATGCTGACGACCGAAGGATCGAAGAGTACCTCAGCTTTTCCGACGAGTATATCAAACCCGTGCATAACAAGGGCGCGGAGGCGCTGAGGGCCGCGGGCGTTGAAGTGGACGACACGGACCCTCGGGCACTGCGCGCCGAGAACAAGACACCAGAGCAGCACAGGGCTTCGATCCTACAAGAGACGCTGAAGGCCATCGTGCTCGTCGGCCGCTTTGCCGGCCTCACGGAGGAGACCATGTACGATGTCGTCGACAACCCGCTACTCACGTCATGGACGGGCCTTCAGTCGTTCATTCCACGCATCCTCCTCAAGCGATGGCCACGAAAGGACGCCCCCTTGACCTATGCAGAGCGCGGGGAGATATGTCGGCTCTGGGGCAAGCGGCAGGAGCGAGAGATGCTCTCGCGATGCCCGAGCACCAACGCACTCGTACCGTTCTTTGTGGTCAACCGCTCCCACCAGGACTGGCTAAGCAACTTCCAGCACCCTCTGCAGCATACCTATGCGTGCGCGATCCCGGACAACGCCGCACTTGACGCCATTTCCAGTCTCGGGATGCCGCTGATGGAGCTCGGCGCAGGCGCGGGCTATTGGGGTGCGCTACTGCGCTCTCGTGGCGTCGAATGCGTGCTGTACGATCGCGCGCCACCAACAGCGGACGGCAACAATGTGTACTTCCATCGGCAATTCACCGAGGTGCTGCTGGGTGACCACTCCAAGGCAGCGACGCACCCGGGCCACGCTCTGCTCCTCGTGTGGCCGTTCTCTGACGAGGAGGCGAAATCTCCGTGGGCGCGCGTGATCTGGTAGACGCCGTCGGTCAACCCGTCATGCGGCAGGTGGCTTGCTTTGGCTCGCTGCCACCGCGGTGGCTCACCAAGGACTTTTCAGCGTGCTGCGTCATCACCGCGCGGCGCGCCTCACCCGGGCAAAAAGAACGACCGCGCGCCGCCGCCGCCCGCCTCGCCGCGCCGCGCCGCCCCGCGCCTCGCCTCGCCTTGCAGCAGCGCACGCGCACACGCACCCACGCGCCCGCGCTCGCTCCGCGAGAGCGAAGCAACCCTCCAAGCGAGTTCCGAACCGGGAGCCAAAAGGTCCCGGCTCGAACCGCGAACCGGTTCGACCACCGCCGCTGGCGGTTCTTGCAAAGGCATCAAAGGCAGTGATTGATATAACGTGAAATAGTGCGAGCGCGCGAGATACTCACCCGACCCACCGTGCCCTCGCGAAAGAGATCTCGCGCCGCGCGCGCTCGCACACGCCGCCCGAGAGCACTCCCACCCCCGCCGCCTCGCAAGCTCACAGGTTGATTTGAGGAGAAGCAGCTGGGGGAGGTCAAAGCGGGAGAAGGCGGCACGGCGGCGGCGGCGCGCCCCCCCCCCCATCCCCACGCCTCCGGGTCGTGCGTACCGCCTCCGGGCGCGAGTTTCCCCCCAGCGTCTGCTCCGGCAGTCGCTCCGGTAATCAGGCCGAGAGTACCAGGGAGGAGGGGAGAAGAGCCCAGGGTGGGGAGAGGAGAAGAGCCCAGGGAGGGGGGAGGAGAAGAGCCCAAGACGGCCTCCCTCTCCCTCCCCTCCCCGGGCCTCCCTCTCCCTCTCCTCCCACCGGGCCTCCCTCTCCCCCTCCTCCCGCCAAGCACCGACAGTCTAGAGGGGCCAGCCGCTGGAAGGGGCAAGCCAGCGGCACGAGGGCTTCAACCACACAACTACCAAGGGAACGCGACCCACACAAAGCACCAAAGTTAGGCATACCCCCCGGCGCAGTGTCCCCCGCTATGTGTCGCCGTTTGTCGGGGCACGCTATCCTGTGCAGTCAGGGCAAGTGGGGGCGGGGTGGAGTGCCCAGGCCAGATGCCCTGGGATTTCTCTGCCCAGTCCGGGGGTGCGTCGAACCTTCCATCACCCTGTCGGAAGCGGCGTGCCGGTGGAGGCACGTCCGGGTTTTGGAAGTAAAGATATATTACTTTTCCGTGGGCGCGCGACGTGGAGCCGTGGGACGTGCGAGCGCTGCGGCTCTACGGGGGCTCGACCGTTATTCACGTTGGCGAGATGGACGAGCAGGCCGATGTCTGCACCACCTCGAAGCTCTTCAAGCAGCTGCTCACGGCCGCCTTCCGCCAGGTTCGGAGCATCGACCTGCCGACTTGGCCTCACGGCAACGACGTGCTCACCATCTGGAGGCGCGCCGGTGGTGCGGTCGCAGGCTGAGGGGTTCTTTGGGTGTCCGTTTTTGAGTGTTCACAGTTTGGGTTACAAACAAGAACCTCGCATACGACGCCACAGTGAGGGGGTGTGAGAGAAATTGCATCTCCGTCGCTCGCTGGCGCCCTCTCGGCGAACACACCGCGGGGTGGGGACACACGCACGCGCGTCACTCCGGTGTGTCGCCGGGTCGCGCTCTCGCGCGCGCCCCAGAGAGGTGAACTCTCTGCACTCTGGCCGCACTGCGTGCGCGTTCCGCCTCGGTACTTCCCCTGGAACGGCACCCTCCGGGAGGCTCCGCGCGCACACCTCAGCTTTCGCGGTTCGCGCCCCGACGAATGCGCGACAGCCGACACCACCGTGAATACTCTATAATTCTAAATTCTTCGAGAGGCGAAGCCGAGCCAGAGTGCAGAGATGAGAGAGGGACTGCGGCCAGTGGCGCCTTCACATGTGCAGGAGGGTTCCTCTACTTTAAGCAGGTGGCACCGCACGTGACAGGACTAAGAGGAGTGGAGAGCTACGGTGTATATACGGGGGAAGGACCGTGAGTTGACGGAAATCGGAGGACGCGACCCACTTCGCCACAGACGGTCCCGCGCCTCGCCGCTATGACGGCCACACGACCGCAGCTCGTGTGCGTGTGGCCGTCTTTGTCCGGAGTGAATACTCCAACGCGCTCGTCGGTGACGGTGTCCTCCAACCTGTGCCGCGCTCGGCGAACCTCGACAGCGCCTTCGGTGGCATGCAGCTCTTTGCGCCTGAAGCCTGGAGTGAAGCTCCTCTGCTGCTCACACACTCTGCACAGATGACACAGCCCACTGTGCGGCTGCCACAGCTGTGACAGCGATGGGCTCGCCCTCACTGGCCCTCAGTCACTTGTGCTGCGGCTTGTGTGAGCGACACTGCGCGGCGACTGCCGGCACACTGTGAGACCATGGGTGTGAGGTAAAACCATGCTACCAGCGCTTGGTCACATCGGCCCCGAGGTCAGATCCTTCTACTCTGTTGATGACAACACTTGTCTACTCGCTGGAGCCGAGCAGGAGGGCTTGGCGCACAACCCCTGTTCAACTCAGGGTCCTTCCCACCTTTACGCCTGAACACGCTGAATCGAGGGATTAAAAATCATCTTAAATCTAAAGTATAAGCCGTATCTACATTAGTCATTATGGTCTCGACAAGTGTCTCGACTCTCTCGATCTCTCGGCACACTCCCTTCTCCTATGCGTCTATTTTAGGCCCCCTATGCCCTATGAATAGTCACAATATCTCTTGCAGAGTCCTCTCTGTCACTCTTCTATCAGAGTCTCCCCCTCTGAGCACTCCTCTCCCTCCCTCTGCTGACTGCTCCTACGGCTATCTGTACTACATCCTCTCAGACCTCTCAGAGGTCGCTCCCCAGGTCGTTGAGCACTCGTCGGAACAGGCTCGCCCGCGCAGAGTGCTCGCACTCCCCGGTGTGCCGCTCGCAGCGGTGCGCGCACTGGCGCTCGACGCCCTCCCACAGCTCGACGACGAGCACGTTGCGCCGGCCAGCGGTGAGCGGCGACACGCAGTGGAACTTGTGCGACACAAAGCAGAGCGCGTCGCCCTTCTCAAAGGCGTAGCTTCGCATGCTGCCGTCGGGCTCGAGCGTGCGGAACTCGCCGCCGCGAAAGTCGCTGCTGTCCGAGAGCATGATGTCGATCGTGACGAGCGAGCCGGCGTCGTAGTGCGTCGGGTACGGCAGCGAGCCTCCCGGCTCGACAGTGTGGTACTCGACGCAGCGCGGAAGGACAGGCCGCGTGGCGCGGCTCATCACGTTCCAGTGCTCCGCGTCCACCTCGCGCGCCAGGTCGAGCAGCCGCTGGCGCAGGGCTGGTCGCGCTCGCGCAAACAGACCGTCGGTCGACAGGTACGACGTCTCCCAAGTGCCCTGACGGTAGGCGGCGGCCTGGTTGCCAGAGGTGCGGCCCGCCGAGCCCAGGAGCGGCTGGAGCTCCTTATGGAGCTCGTGCAGGTCCTCGACCTCTGACGCCGATAGGAAGGACGGCACGCGCACCACCTCTGTTTTCTGGGCGTCGGCAGAGAGCGGCAGGTGCGTCTCGGCGTGCGCCGACGCCTCGACGGAGGCGAGGTAGTCGCCGTACTGCTGGTGCACGAGAAGCGAGGCTGCAGCGGTGGCGGCAGTCACTTTGACCGCCAGCGCCCGTCGCATGATGAGGCTCAGGCGCGTCGGCTCGGGCGCGTCGGCTCAGGCGCGTCGGCACCTGGCAGGCGTCGGCACGCAGGCGCCGGCGTCGGCGGCAGAGGCTCAGGCGCGTCGGCGTCGGCGGGGTGCGAGCAGAGAAATACGCCGGCGTGCTGCCTGTGTGAGTCTCGGAACTATACTAGCCCCCGCCGACTTGCGACGCTATAGACAGTCGCACGGTAAAGCGGTAAGCGGAGAGCGCCGAAAGTTTTACTTCTTACTCGAAATGAGTCGACGACACTCGCGGCACGCGGACACGGGCGAGCGGCTCGCAGCTCTCGCACGCCGACCCTGCGCCACGGATGGACGGGATGGCTGCCGGCTCGCACAGCCTCCGCCGCCATCCGTCCGTTTCCACTCGCGCCCCTGTGCGCGAGCCGCGCCCTCAGCTCTGCACGCCCTTGAGCTGCGCCATCAGGTCAGACAAGTCGACGCCGTCCGAGGCGGCCTCTGCTGCGGGCGCGGCGCTCGGCGCAGCTGGCGGCGGCGCGGCCGGCGGCGGCGCGGCCGGCGGCGGCGCGGCTGCTGGTCCCGCAGGGGCCGCAGCCTCCTCCTCGCCGTCGTCGCCCCCCACCTCAATGCCCCACTCGTTTGTCTCGTGGAGGAGCGCCGCGCCAGCGATCGCGGCGGCCTCCGCCTCGGCGGCGGCGGCGGCGGCGGCGGCAGCCTCCCGCTCGGGCGCCTTTGCCGCGTACTCGGCCTGGCGCCTGCGGCACCAGCTGGAGGCGCAGTCCGGGTTTGGCCGGAGTGCCATCGTCGGGAAGTGGTCGCGCAGCGCGGAGTAGCCTGCGGGTGCGGGGCACGGCTCGGGGAGAGGCGGCGAGGGGAGGGGCGGCGAGGGAGGCGCGGTGCGCGTGGCGTGGCAGGCGGGGCTGGCGGGAAACTGGCGGGGGGCTGGCGGGGGGCTGGCGGGGTGCGTGGTGCGTGGTGCATGGTGCGTGGTGCGTGGTGCGTGGGGTGTGTGGGGTGGCGTGGGTGGCGTGGCAGGTTGGTAGGTGGCGTGCCGAGGTAGCGCGAGACGTCGCCGAAGCCGAGGAGGTACTTGAGCGCGTTCTGGACCAGGAAGCCAGCGACGATGCCCATGGTGGTGGGGAGGGAGGCGGCGCACACGCCCTCGCGCTTCAGCGTCTTCTCGTCCTCGCCCGACGCGACGATGAGGGGCGGCGCGCACTCGAAGCACGCGAGCTCGCCCGGCTTGAGGAGCTGGATGTGGCCCGAGACGGCGTCCTCGGAGACGCCAGACTCGAACCACGTCTGCCCGAGCTCGTTGCAGGCCTGGTTGATGGACATGCGCGCGGCGAAGTTGTCGACGCACGAGAGCACGAGGTCGACGGCGCCGCCGCCGAGGGCGCCGTTCGAGATGCGCCCCATCAGGTGCTCAAAGTTGTCCATCGTCGTGATGTTGTAGTTGTAGTCCTCAATCTCGACATCCGGGTTGATGAAGGAGAGCGACTTCTTCGCCGCGGCCACCTTGCTCAGCCCGCACTGGTCGGGTGTGTAGAAGAGCCGGTTCATGTTTGCGAGCTCGACCTTGTCATAGTCAAAGATGAGCAGTTTGCCGACGCCGCACCGCACGAGCATCTCGGCGGCGACTGAGCCGACACCACCCACGCCAACCACCACCACCGTCTTGTGTCGGATCTCGTCGTAGTTCTTCACCACACCTGCGCGGGCGCCGTGTGCAACGTGAGGTGAGTCACGGTCACAGTCGCTGCTGGCGAGGCGCCGCTGCCGCGCACCCATCTTCTTCAGAGCCATCAGGCGCGAGTACGGGTTGGAGTCCACCACCTTGTCTGAGAGGACCGCGACCTTCTCTCGTACCGGGCACACGGGCTCGGAAGCTGAGGAGGCCATCGCAACCGAGTGAGCGGCGAGGTGGCAGAGGAGAAGAAATTTGTTTTCTTAAGTGTTGTTTTGACGCGGACGCCCAAGGGTGGGCGACGGCTAGCGCATCCCACTCCTCTCCTTAAAATCCCTGTGTGGTGGCGGCGTGCCGTCCTCCCATCCCTCCGTTGGCCTGCCTGTTTTCTTTCTTTCTTTGTGAGTGAGCTCTGTCTCTCGACGTGCCAACAACAAACCTAAACCAGAAATAGCTACGAAGCCCCCCCCCCAAAAAAAAACGACGCCACCCCACCCCACCCCCTCCGACTCAAAGCGTAACGCATTGCATGGACGCGCTACACGACCCGCTCGGCGACTTGGTGGCGTACTCGGCGCCCGAATCGCCGAGTCTGCCCGGCGATCATCGGCCTGCAGCCCGACAGGCGAGCTGCGGCCCGGGAAGTGGAGATGGCATATGGCTGGCTCCCTGGCCGTGCCGGCTTTGTGCTCTCACGCCGTCCGCCCGTCCGCCCGTCCCCGCAGAGAGGCTTCTACTCAGAGTTGGTTGATGCAAAGCGCGGCGCGAGCACCTCGACGCTGTCCCCCGTGAAACGAGGGCCACGATCTCAGAAGAGGCCCGCCGCCCGCCTGTTCACCTGCAATGTGGTCCTGAGGAGTGCCGCGGATGCCGCCCTCGCCTCCGCAGAGGAAGACCCGGCAGGAGAGACGGAGCTAGCCGCGGCACCGCTCAAGTCGACGGCCGAGCCCAAGGTCTACGTCGCGTACGATCAACATGCGGGCGCCGCGCCGCGCCGCGTGGTCATTGAGCGCCAGCGGCGGCACTTCCGGCAAGCCGACGTTGCCGCGCTGCTGCTCGAGCGGGGAGTCGACAGCTCCGCCGCCGGAGCGGAGGAGAGCGCGGCGCCGCTTGAGCTGTTCGACGACACCGAGTACGACTGTCGCCCTGTCGCCGAGTGGGCGGCGCTCACAGGCGAGACTCTGCTCGGCCGGTATTTCCGCCGCGCTGCCGATGGCACTGGCTCGTGGTCGCCGTGTGCAGTCCTCTCCTTTGATGCGTCGGCGGGGCTCTTCACCGTTGCTCCGCTGGACGAAGGGGGGAAGAGGTCGCTGACCACGGCGACTGTCTCGCGCGTAAACCTCTGCTTCGATGCAGAGGACCCATTCGTCTTTGCCGAGCGCGTCGCCGCAGCGCACGCAGCCCGACACGCAGCCGCGGAGAGGATGCTATTCGAGCTTTGCGTCGACAGCATGCCGACCGACGGCTTACCGCAGATCGAGGCGTCGCGGATGTCGCGGATCTCTAAGCTCGCAGCCAGCTCCGCCCAGTTTGCCTCCCCGCGCCTGGCCAACTTCTCCGAACAGCTGGCCGGAGAGGTCCAGGCGCTGCACGCCCGTGCGCTCGCCTCGATGGTGCTCCGCTCGCAGGCGAACGCGGCGCGGGAGGGAGACCACCAGGCGGCGGCCGCATTTTCGAACGTGGTCATTCCCGCGAGCGAGCCGCCGCCGGCGGGGGCCGGCACCTTGCTGCGATGCGAGGACCTGCCACCCCACGCTTGCCTCAGCCAGCAGCACGGCTTCACCTTCAGAACCTTGCTGACCACCCCGGAGGCCGTCGCCGCGACGAGCAAGGTTCGAGCCGAGTGCAACCGGGTGCTCGACCTCAGCCTCTTCTCTCTCGACCTGACCAAGTCTGTTCCGAGCGAAGAGTTTGCACAGCTCCAGGCGACGCACCTCAGCGGGGTGACGCCCTTCCTCCGAGAGCACTGGCCCGCAAGCATCAAGAATGCGCTGCGCGGCCTCTTCAAGGACCTCGGCAAGGGCTGGTTCAACATCCACGAGACGCGCAGCGAGATTTACGACCAGTCGAAGCTCAAGCGATTCTTCCGGATGGCGGCACTCATGATGCAGGACGCTGTCGTCTCCATGGCTGAGGCGTCGGTGTCTTCGTACGTGAACACAATCTGCGAGCGATGCGACCACGTTGTTACGGTGCGGTCGGCTTCCGATGTGAGCGTGGTCTCGGCGGGCGCGTCGGGCGCGGGGCTCTTCACGCTCGAGCTCGCGGTCGGCGAAGACGGCGCGTTCTTTCGCGTGCCCCCCGCGATGTGCAAGGACGCCGTCCTCTCTGTGTACGCGCGCGGCGTCGAGGCCACCCTCGGCATCCCGCAGATTGAGCGCCAGGTGATGGAGTCGCTCTTTTGGTCGGACACGCCGATGCTGCAGACCCTCTCGCGGGGCGAGGGCTTCGTCGCGGAGCAGCAAGCGCGCTTGTCCGACGCTGTCGAGAAGGCCTTGCCGCCCGCCGCCGAGTACCTTGCGACCTTCGCTCAGTACCGCGACTACCTCATCCTCGATGAAGCGGCGTTCGCGGCCAAGTACGAGGCGGACGAGCGGCCGATTGCAGAGATGGTTCCAGAGGCAAAGAAGCACCTACAGCTGGCTGCTGAAATGGAGGAGGCCATCCCCTTGCGGATGCCACTCGGGCTCTTCACGGTGTCGTGCACCGCGGTGCGCAATACCCTCGTCGAGCGGCATCGGTCGTTGGCCGCCATCATCGTCAAGCGCATGAGCGCAGCACCAATGCACTCGGCGCACGAGACTGGCAAGCGGTTTGCCGGTGTGCTGCAGAGGCTCAACCAGCCGACCGAGACCATCGAGGAGGTCGCAGAGCTGGAGGAGTACGCGCGGCAGCTCCCGGCCGAGCTTGCTGAGCTGCAAGAGGGCATTAAGGCCATGGTGGCGGAGCAGGAGGTCGTGGACCAGTTTGAGATGGTGTCGCCGGACGCCGACGTCAAGGCGTTTTGGGCAACCATCGCGCTGCCTCGGCGGGTCGCGGAGCAAATCGAGGCGGTCGGCGTCAAGGCCGCTGAGATGCGGGAGCAATATGCGCAAGAGATGCAGTCCGAGCAGGCCGCATTCGACAAGAGCCTTGACCGCCTCGAGAAAGTGGTTGGCGGCTTCGACAAGCACACGAGCTTCGACCGTACCAAGGAGGTGGCGTCGGAGGTGCGCCAGCTGCAGCTCGAGCTAAAAGACGCCGAGGAGAAGCGCGCGCGCTTCAACAAGCGCGAGGTCATCTTTGGCCAGGAGCAGACGGACTACTCGCAGCTGCTGCGGACGAGCAAGGCATTCGAGCCGTACGCCACGCTTTGGCTCACGGCGGACAAGTGGCTCGAGAGCCAAAAGGAGTGGTTCGGCGGGGCCTTCAACAAGCTGGAGCCCGAGGCCATGGAGGGCGTGCTGTCGGCTGCGCAGCGGACCTTGTACAAGCTATCAAAGACCTTTGAGGGGGCGGAGGGCCTGTCTGACATCGTCACGCGCGTTCGGCAGGAGATCGACGACTTTTCCCCCAACATGCCGCTAATCACCGCGCTGCGCAACCCGGGTATGCGCGAGCGCCATTGGAAGCAGCTGTCAGACGAGGTGGGTCAGGACATGACGCAGGCCGCCTCCGATGCCTTCACTCTCGAGACGATGCTCTCCCTCAACCTCGGCGAGCGAGTGGAGACGGTGACCAAGGTGTGCGACGTTGCGGGGAAGGAGTACGCTATCGAGACCGCCATGGACAAGATGGAGGCGGAGTGGAAGGGCGTGGAGCTCGAAGTGGTGCCGTACCGCGAGTCGGGTACCTTCGTCATCAAGGGCGTCGACGCAATTCAGCAAGTGCTCGACGACCAGATCGTCATGACGCAGTCGATGGCCTTTTCCCCATTCAAGGGGCCCTTTGCAGAGCGCATCGACAAGTGGGAGTCGACGCTCACGCTCATCTCCGACATCATCGAGGAGTGGGTCCGTGTCCAGCGCGCTTGGATGTATCTCGAGCCCATCTTTTCGTCCGACGACATCATGCGCCAGCTTCCGACGGAGGCCAAGCGGTTCACCGGCGTGGACCGCACCTGGCGCAAGCTGATGTCCTCCGCCTCCAACGAACTCGACGTCATCGCCTACTGCAAGACGCCGCGGCTGCTCCCGCAGTTCCAGGACGCCAATCAGATGCTCGAGCTCGTGCAAAAGGGCCTGGCCGAGTACCTCGAGACCAAGCGCGTCGCCTTCTCGCGCTTCTACTTTCTCTCCAACGACGAGCTGCTCGAGATCCTGTCACAGTCAAAGGACCCGCTCGCGGTGCAGCCGCACCTGAAGAAGTGCTACGAGGCCATCCACAAGCTCACGTTCGAGCCGGACCTCGCCATGACGGCCATGATCTCCGGCGAGGGCGAGACGGCGTTCGAGGGCGTCGAGGCTAGCTTCAGCTCCGACATCGCGGCGTGGAGGGCCTACTTTGACTCTGCGGAGACGCACCAAGAGCAGATTCCGTCGGGGCTACACGAGCGTCTTGACCCGCTCCAGCGCCTCTGCGTGCTCCGCTCCGTGCGACCAGACAAGGTTGTGCCCGGGATGCAAGACTACGTCAAGCACTACATTGGCCAGCGCTTCATCGAGCCGCCTCCGTTCGACATCGGTGTGTCGTTCAAGGACTCCACAAACAGCATGCCCATCGTCTTTGTCATCTCCCCAGGCTCCGACCCGTACGACGACCTCTTGAAGCTGGCCACGGAGCTGAAGATGAACAAGAAGCTGCAGGCCATCTCGCTCGGGCAGGGCCAAGGGCCGATTGCTGAGAAGGCGATGACGTCCGCGATGGAGAAGGGGAGCTGGATCCTGCTTCAGAATTGCCACCTCGCCGCGTCGTGGATGCCAAAGCTCGAGGCGATCGTCGAGCAGTACGTCCCGAGTGAGATGCACCGAGACTACCGTCTCTGGCTCACCTCGCTGCCGTCGCCACTCTTCCCGGTCTCGATCTTGCAGAACTCGGTCAAGATGACCATTGAGCCTCCGCGCGGCATCAAGATGAACATGAAGGGTTCGTACAACAACATCACGGACCCCTACCTCGACGCGCACCCGAAGGCGCCACAGTTCAAGAAGCTCCTCTACGGCCTCTGCTTCTTCCACGCTCTGCTGCAGGATCGGCGCCGCTTCGGCGCCCTCGGCTTCAACATCCGGTACGAGTTCACTGCGGGCGATCTCAAGTGCTGCATGTTGCAGCTGGAGACCTACCTGGCAAAGTACGACGAGGTGCCGTACCAGGTGCTGGTGAACCTCTTTGGTCACATCAATTACGGTGGGCGCATCACCGATGACTGGGACCGCCGGTGCGTCCTCACGACGCTGATGAGCATCGTCAACGAGGGTATCATGTCGGACACCTTCATGCTCGCCCCCGGCAGCGATTGCTACGCGTCACCTGCTGACACGAGCGTCGCTGGCTACCTCGAGAGCATCGGCGACTTCCCGCTGAACCCTCACCCCAACGTGTTTGGCCTCCACGCCAACGCCGACATCACCTGCGCGCAGAACGAGACGCAGGAGCTCTGCGACATTATGCTCTCCCTGCAGCCAAAGGTGTCGACCGGAGGCGGCAAGTCGCGCGAGGAGGTGATTGCCGAGGTTGCGGCAGGCTTGCAGGCGCGCGACCTGAAGCCGTTTCCGATGGACGAGATCGCGGCGCGGTACCCGCTCTCGTACGAGCAGTCGATGAATACGGTGCTCTCCCAGGAGTGCATCCGCTACAACCGCCTGATCCGCGTGTACAACAAGTCGCTCGCCGACCTGCTCAAGGCCCTCAAGGGGCTCATCGTGATGAGCGCTGAGCTGGAGGCGATGGCGACGTCGCTCTATAGCAACCAGGTCCCGGCGATGTGGGCCAAGGTGGCATACCCCTCGCTCAAGCCGCTCGCGGCGTGGGTCGACGACTTGGCGCGTCGTATCGAGTTCTTGCAGTCGTGGGACCGTGGAGGGCCGCCCCCGGCGTACTGGATCTCTGGCTTCTTCTTCCCGCAGGCCTTCTTGACGGGGACGCTGCAGAACTATGCGCGAAAGCACAAGGTCGCCATCGACACCGTCTCGTTTGCGTTCCACGTGATGGCGCAGGAGCCAAACAGCGTGGCGGAGGCGCCCGAGGATGGCTGCTACGTCTTTGGTATGTTCCTAGAGGGAGCTGTCTGGGACCCGGACGCCTGCTTGCTGGCCGAGGCCCGGCCAAAGGAGCTCTACTCGGTCTTCCCCATGCTATGGTTGAAGCCCGAGGTGGACCGCAAGCCGCCCACCTCCGGCGTCTACTCGTGCCCGCTCTACAAGACTACGACACGCGCCGGCACGCTCTCCACCACCGGCCACTCCACCAACTTTGTGCTGATGATAGAGCTCCCTTCGGACAAACCGTGCTCGGGTACGTTCAGCAGATACGCAGAGACCTTCAGCGCGCACTGGATAGGCCGTGCAGTCGCGCTTTTCACGACACTGACGTACTGAAAGCAGTGGAGTGTGAGAGGTGTGTTTACGACGTGTGAGCTGAACACGGTTTGTAAATTATCGGGGCGCAGATGACCTTTTCTGCTTTCCATCGGATACCCGTAGTGGGCTTCACGGGGCTTCGATATGTGCTTCGGGCGCGTGTCTATGCGCCCACGCACACGGTCATATCGCAAAGCGCAGAGCGACAACGCCAATCGGAAGCGGAGAGCAAGAGAACATGCGGACTCGCTACGCAGCAGGTAGACAGCGCCTTTCACAGCGGTGTCAGGCGGCTGAGATTGTGTAGAGCAGGTGCGCTGCAAGAGCGTCAGACAGGCACGGGAGCGCCAGCTTGGACTCCAGTACCTCTGCCTCGTCGTCATCATCGCTCCACGCCTCCACCATGCTAGCCTCAACGGCCAGCATCGCGTTGTCCTCATCATCGCTGCGCTCGGTCCGCTGGCGCTTGCGCGCATCCTCGCTCGCCACGGCTGCGGCAGCGCGAGTGCGGTGGATCATGCCTCCAGGGCTCACGTAGCGCCAATGGCCGCGCTTTGCCGCAGCGGCTGAGGGAGAGCGCACGCGCCACCCGGCCTCGTAGGCGCCTGACCAAAGCCTCGTGTCCACCTCGGCGCCGTCGCATTCCACCTGCCCGGGACGCCGCCCTTGCGCGGTGTCCCGCCGCTCGCGCGGCCGCTTGCGCAGCGCCATCACGTGGGCGTGCAGCGGAGAGTCGTCTCGCAGACGCCGGGCCAGCGCAAGAGCTCCAGCCTCCTCGCTGGCAAAGGAGCCCAGGTGGAGGGTGCCGCACACGCTGGCCGATGTCCCAGCGAGATGCTCGCGCGCGTAAGCCACCCCGACCGGCACCTGCACGTGCCAACGCGGAGCCGTCTGTGCCGGAGTCCGCTTCACCGCCCAAAACTTTGAGCCGCTGCCGTCCGCTGGCAGCAGGGTGAGGCCCTCCTCCGCGGCCTGCGCCATGGCCTCGATCGCGCTCAGCTCGTTCGCCGCCTTCCAGACCCACCCCGCCTGGTTTCGCTTCGGGCCGTTGACACGCGCCGCAGCCTCCTCCGGGCCGAGCCTGCGCGCGATGGCGAGAGCAGCCTCGTGCGCAGTCGCAAAGTAGCCGACCTTCCGGCTCACGTGGTCGCCGGTTCCCTCTCCTCTGAGTTCCGCCTTGAAGCGAACCTTCTTCCGGTCGGGCGGCTTCTCTCTGTACACGCCCCTGAACCCGGTCTTGGACTGTGAGTCGCGCCAGAGCACCAGCCCCTCCGCCGCGGCGGTGCGCTCAACGTCCTTCAGGCTCAGGCCTGGACGAGTCTCCTTGGCCGCCTTGGCCGCCGCCTTGGCCGAGGCTTCAGCGAGCACCTCTGGAAAGTTGCGAGCAACCGCGAGCGACGCCGCCTCGGCGCACTCAAAGGTTCCGAGGTGGATCCGTTTGTCCTCACGCATGAAGGTCGCCTTGTACAGGCCTTTGCTCGCGACGACGCAAAGAAAGCCAGAGGCACCGGTGCCGCCCCGCACGAGGGTGAGGCCCTCGGCCGCAGCCGCATTGCGGGCAGCTTCCGCCGTACGCTCGACGGTGGGCTTGTGCCAGGCCCCGCCGATGGCGCGATCGTCCATTGTGGGCGGCGACAGCGGGTATGGAGGCGGCAGCAACAGCTCGGGAATGGCCGCTGTTCCTTTCTGCGGCAAGATGCAGGGCGGTGGTGGCGGGTCAAGAGGAAGTCGGAGCGGCGCCATCGCGGTACCGATCGGCCTGCAAGGCGGTTGGCGGCTCGCAAGGAGTAAGTCACGCTCAGGATAAGAATCTTACAACAAAACTCCCTCAGGATAAGAAAAACGGTTAACACGCTCTCGGAGGCTGCGGTACCAGTCGAAGGCGAAGCGGATTCGAGGCCACAGCCGAGGAAGAGGCATCAGAAACGACTGCAGAGGCAGTCTGGTAACGCCCGGAAGGCGAGCAAGGGACAGGGACGAGCCGAGGGCTCGCCCCGACCGACAGGCGAAGGAAGGGACTCTGGGACCGGAGTCGGGCGGGCGCACATGAGGCGTATCCGTGTACGTACGTGGAGTACAGTGTTGTGTGTCCGTTAGCTCCGAGTAGAGGGGGCGTTCTGCAGTTAAGGGGAAACCCGGTACACGGAACTAACCCTCGGAGACCCGTGTTTACTTTACGGCCCTTTCCCTGCGAACGCGCACCCCCGGGGTTAGGGCTTTCTTGCCCGCAACCCGATGCCAATCAATTCATCCGGCCCGCTGGGTGCGCTTCTTAGCTCCCCGACCCTGGATGTGCGGTTGATGACTGCACTCCAAGTGCTCCAAGTGCCAAATCTAACTCGGGTGTTTTCTAACGCAGACGCGCCCCGACCCCAGGGTTTCGGCGAGGTCTCCTGGTCCTTGTCCAATCGATTGCTCCAAGCGATGGACCGGGGGGGGGGGGGGGGGCTTGCTCCGAGAGACCTCGAGAGCGGGCGTGTGTCTTCCGCCATCACCACATCGCTGGGTATTGATGGGATCGGAGTCCTAAGTGTTACAACCCGTCTCACACAACACTCACGTGCCCAAGGCAACCAACACAAGTCCTAAAGAAACAAACGCAAAGAAACCTGCCTCAGGTCCTAAAGAAGTGAACGCGGCAAAGAAACCCGAGCTTTATTAGATAGCGGGCCGCATCCGGATTGCGTTGTTACGGGCCGTTTGTACGTGCGTGCGTCCTCTGAGCTTGTAAGTTTACCTAGGGACGGCCGTCCATCGGGATCGCTCTGCTCCGGCCCCCTCGTGGGTGGCCTCCGCCGTCCCAGTGGCCGCCTCCGCGATGTCTGGGCCCGCCGATAAGACGGCTAAGGAACGGCTCCGCTGGCTGCGGGAAGAGAAAGGGTGTGGCACCGCAGCACGTCTTGCCACAGGCTGGCTTCGCCTACTGGGTGCACCGAGATGGGGGCTCGGTCGGCTTTCCGCCGACGCCAACGAGATCCCACCTCGAAGTCCGCGACGACCCGCTGTATACCAAAGAATGGAAAAAGCTGCTGAAGGCGCTCCATCAGGAGGACGCCAAGTACGGCCGTGCGGGGGCCGCTCGCAAGGCCCAGCGCAAGAACCTGTGCCCCGAGCTCAACTGGGGGCAGCTGCGCTGCAGCCAGCCGGCACCGCACGCAGTGGCTGTGCCTGTGCCCCAGGGGGCCGTGTTGTACGGGTTGGCTTTCGCTGCGCCGCTGCCGCCCGCGCAATGGTTTGCGTCGCCGCCGCCTCAATGGCGCGCGTCGGCCTCCCTCGCCTCCCACCTCAGAGGCTGGTGCCTCCTCCACCGACGGCTCGTCGGCCGCCGGGCTCGGGCCAGGGACTGCCCAGGGCGATGCGCACCGCGAGGGCGTGCGTTGCGAGCGTGTGTGGCGGCTGGCAGGCGTGCGTCGGACGGCGACGTCGGGCGGGCGCGCCGCGTCCTTCTGCCGTCATGTGGGAGCGCAGCGTGCCCCCACTCGTCGGCTGCCCTCTTGGCAACGTCCGTACTTTAAGATGGGGACAGTAAAAGTTCACCGATTGGGCGGCGGGCAAGATCTGAACGAGGAAGAAATAATCCTAAACAAACTATCTAAATACGTGAAGCAGATCCTTCTTTCACACGCACACCGAGGATGAGCAAACCAATTATTTCTCTCTCGAGAGCGGAGCGACAGTTTTCCGCGACGGCGGTTTTTCTCTCTACGCTGCGCTTCTCCT